GCTGGTCTCGAACCCCTGACCTCAAGCGATCCTCCCTCCTTGGCCTCCCAGAGTGCTAGGATTACAGGTGTGAGCCACTGCATCGGGCCAAGAATATAAAAATTTTTTGTAATATTTTTGCAACTCCTCTGAGTGTGAAAATAGAAAGTTAAAATAGTGCTAGGATTACAGGTGTGAGCCACTGCATCGGGCCAAGAATATAAAAATTTTTTGTAATATTTTTGCGACTCCTCTGAGTGTGAAAATAGAAAGTTAAAATAGTCATTTTTAACAGTTAAAATTTAAAACAAAATATAAATATAAAATGAAAATGCTCCCTTGGCCACACTACAGGGAACAGACTATGGGAGTTGGGATGGAAGCAGGGATATCAGGTAAGAGAATGTCCAGGCCAGACATACCTGGCTGGGGACACCTCAGGATGCCCTCTCCACACCAACCGCCCCCCCCGCCCGCAGTCCTTCTGTCCTCCTTCTCAAGACATACCTGGGAGAGCCAAGCAGACGGAAGGTGAGGGTGGGGTCTCTCAACTCCTGCAGCAGCTGGCAGGGGAAAAGCGTGTGTATGTTTATCAGTGCCTAGAACACCCTCTGCTGTCCCCACAAACACGACCCCTTAAAGAGTGCAAGGAACTGACTCCATGTCTAGCCTCAGGTCCAGAGACAATCCCTTTTGCCAATACTATGCACCAATGTGTGACCTCAGGAAGCTATTTAACCACTCTGTGCCTCTGATTACTAACCTGTGACATCATAGCATTATACATAGCTGACAGGTGCTGGCGAAGATTAAAGGAAATACTAAAGTGTAAGGGCTTTTTACAGTGTCTGACGGTGTGCTAGGAGAGAAGCCCATTTTACCATCTGTTTCCCAAATGAGGACAGTGAGGTACAGGAAGGTTAAGCCATTTGCCTGAGATCACTGAGCTGGACTCCAACCCAGGCAGTGTGGTCCGTGCTCTTACCCATCCGTATAGCTCTAGAGTGATCTCCATTTTGCAGTTAGGAAACAAAGGCTCAAAGAGAAGCCAAAGTTCCTTCCTTGCACAAGGTCACACAGTGGCCCAGGATGACACTGAGACTCAAGAGATTTGGGGGCAAAGAAGCGGATCTGTCTGAACTGAAACTGGAGGAAGCTTCCCCTGCAGGACTTCACAGCCTGACTCGGGAGTTCTTCAGGCCCATCTGACGAATGTGGTGACTGAGGCAGGAGGGGCGGGGCCGTGGGGTTCGGGTGAAGGAGCTTACCTGGTCCGAGCCTAGCGCCCACACCTGCACTCCATGCTTCCAGAAAGCTTGAAGCTGACCCCCGACCATAGCTGGGGACAAAGCAATGCCTGTTATCCTCGGGGACCACTTGAGCCTCCACCCGACCCTGGGCCCTCCCTCCATTCCTGCACATACCCACGGCCTCCACCGCCTCGGTCATAGGGATCTCATGTGTGCGAAGCCCCCGGACTGGGGCTCCCTCCGGGGTGACCAACTTCAGAGAGCCTGGAAGGGGGCAGAGAGAGACAGAGTTTTAAAAACTGTGAACAGGGGTTAGAGAGTTACTAAGGGACCAGGCAACAAATCCAGTGTGAAAGGTAAGAAGAACGGGTGCAAGGCCTAGAGGCGGTTAAGGTTCTGAGAGGCACAAGGTCTGGGGGTGGAGATCCACGGACCAGGGTGGAGGATTCTTACCGTCCATCAACACCATCACCATATCTTCCTCTACCTGGGTCACCTGCACTGGTCCCTTGTGCTCTGAGAGAAGACGGGGTTTAAGGACATATGTCGCCCCGTCCCCCTTTCGCCACACCTCCCCTAGGCCAGTCCCTCTCCCGGGCACCCCTCAGTTCCCAAAGAGGCTAAACCCCGCCCACCCCCAGGCCCCACCCATGGCCCATCTCACCAATTAAATAAAACCGGCCATTCTCTCTCCCCGCCCCCTTCCGGCCCTTTCTCTAAGCACCGCCCAGCCACCCAGACCCACCCTCCGAGCTAAGAAGCCCCCGCCTCCCAGCGGCCGCGCCCGGCGGGCCTGCGGCTCACCCGTGCTCATCTCGCCCAGCCAGCAGGACAGCGCGCCGAAGCGCACGGTGTGGAAGAGCACCGACCTCGCCGGCCGCCCGGGGCTCACGCCGATGCACACGGAGGGCAGCTCGGAGCCTGGCCCGGTCAGCAGCGCGAACACCGGCAGGGGCGTGGGTAGCGGGAACAGCACCTGCTGCGGGCCGCGCGGGGGATGGGCAGGGGGCTCAGAGGCGGCTTAGGGCCGGGCCCGGGGCCTTGGGGCAGGCCGGGGACCTCCGAACCTGGGCCCTCAGCCTGTGGAGGTGCCATCTAGAAACTTCGGGGAGTGGGTCCCAGAGGGCTTCAGGGGTGCCTCCTTAGAAACAAGGTGTGGCCTCGGAGTGGGTGTGGCTTCCACGTGGGGGAGAGCCACTTTGGCGACAGAAAGGTAGGGTTCGTGAAAGGGCCTCGAAGGCAGCAAAACCTCCTTAGCGACTCAAAGGGACAGGCTCTAAGTTCTCCTTGGAGACCCGGGGGCGGGGCTTAGGGCCTGAGGAATAATTAAGCCCAGGTGTGAGGGGCGGAGCTTAAGGCTCAGGAAGGCCTCATAAGGGTGAGCCTCCTGCTCCGCCCGCAGATGGGAGGGGCCTATGGAGGACTGGGGCGGGGCCTGGGCGGAGGCGGGGTCTCACGGAGCTCGCAACAGCAGCCCAAAGGTGGAAGGCCCATCCCCAGAGTCCCCAGCAACCCCTAGGCCCCTTACCCGGACGAGCAGGAACTTGTTCATGGGCTGGTACCACTGAAGCAGGACCACGGACGTCTCCAGGGCCCCGCACAGGAACGGGCCCCCAGAGCTCGCACCCTCCGCTGTGGGGGTGAGCAAGGATGGGTTAGGATTCATCCCCTCACTGCCCCGCCCCGGCAAGGCCCAGACTACCACACACGTCCCCTGGGCTCTGGACCCCGGGCCTTAACTCTGCAACCTTCTCGGGAGGATGCAGCCCAGGCCCCACCCTTGGCTCAGCCCTGCCTGGTCTCTGCACACCCAGGGGGTCTCTCTCACCCACACAGCACGCCCGGCAGCCTTTGGTGTCCTGGATCTTGGTGGAGACCATGTTCTTCCTGCAGGAAAGGGAGGCGTGAAGCGGGGTGGACAGCAGTAGGGGGAGAGGGGACCACTGGGGTCTGTGGTGCCACTGGGAGCTGGTACCTTGCCAGTAGCCGGTGGGGGCTAATGTGAGCGATGGGGTTTCCTGATCTGGTCTCTTTCCGTTCCAGCAGGCCCAGGATGCTATGAGAATACAGGTGGGGGGTCTTTCCTGCAGTGTGTGTATGTGAGGGGAAGCAGGCAGTTATAGGACCCCGGATCCCACCTTCTTTCCTCATCCTTTCACTCTGCCCTATCCCTTTGTCTGAAACTCCCAAGCCTGCAAGTCTCAAGCACTTTCCATTCATTCATTTCTCACTCCACCTACTTTAAAGGCCTGTTGTAGGCCAAGCCTGCCGTGCTTGGCCCTCGTGAACCGTGGCAGGCAGAACAAATATGTTCCCTGCCTCGTGGGTCTTGTAGCCACATAAGAAACCATGGCCACATCCAGTTAGATGAAGTTACACATACTACAAAGTTTAAGAAGAAACACATCTATAAATTCTTCTAAAGTTTGTCATCACAGATGTGATATTAACTAGCTCGTGAATCCTATTCGGTTTGGTGTTTCCTCCAAAACTAGAAATTCTTTTACACAAAACATTTATAAAACAATGATACAGATTTTTTAAATCTGTAACTTGCTCACTCTATCTTAGTTAAGTGTGGAATAAGTTTTGATTGTCGTCTGAACGTGAAAGCTATTTGAAGACTAATTTATTGTAGTAATTACCTCAAAACTGACTTGAGAGGTGGAGATTATTGTGAGCGCATCCTACAGAGGGGGAAACTGAGGCTCAGGGAGCACAGTGAAAAGGTGGCTAGGGCTTTGGGATGGGGAGCCTAAGGTTTTTTTTTTTTTTTTTACCTATGCCCATTTACTTCCCATCCCCCTGACCCTTGACCTTTTAACCTCTGACCCCACCTCTCCCCAGACCCACAGCCAGACCTGAGAGAGACATGAGGACGTTGTCGATGGAGTACACCCAGGTAGTCCGGCTGGGAAAGAGCTGCAGAGACAGGGAAGGTGGCTCCTGTGTCACCCCAGCAGCCCCCAGCTGTGGCCCCTGCCCTTGCCCCATCCCAGGTGCTGTCCCTCACCATCTCCAACGTGGCCTCCTGGTCATTCCGGTTCAGGATGAAGATGCCTTCCTCTGCCCCCAGGAGCAGGTGTTGGTCTGGGGACACAAACATCAAGGACACTGGGACCTACCCCATCCTGGGGGGCCTTCCAGATCCCTGCCTGCCAGATCCCAAACTCTTGCCCCCAGCTCTGACCCTCTATTCTCTCTCACCCCAAACTAACGCTCCCAGCCTCTATTTCCCCAAACAAACCCTGACCAGTCTCCTAAGCCAGTTTCATTCTCCCTTCCCTATGACTTCCCACGTTCTGGTGGTTCTTCGGTCTGACCCACAAGTCCTGGCCCTTGATTCTGACCCCAACCTTGGACCTGCCCCCCAAATAGCCCTCTAAGTTCCAGCCCTCCTTCTCCCCAGTTATGATCCCCAAATGCTAATCCTGTCTTAGCACTGATCCTCGAACTTAGATATCCCCAAATATGACTTTTTCTTTCCAGTGTGACCCTGAACGCTGATGCTGTTTCTTTAATGTTGACTCCCTCACTGACCTTGTCTCCCTGTCTTTGATCCCAGACTCTGTCCTTTCCTGCTGCATTCTGATCCTCAAAACTTTTTTTTTTTTTTTTTGAGATTACCTGGGCTAGAGTGAGTGCCATGGCGTCAGCCTAGCTCACAGCAACCTCAAACTCCTGGGCTCAAGCGATCCTTCTGCCTCAGCCTCCTGAGTAGCTGGGACTACAGGCATGTGCCACCATGCCCGGCTAATTTTTTCTATATATTTTTAGTTGTCTGATTAATTTCTTTCTATTTCTAGTAGAGACGGGGTCTCGCTCTTGCTCAGGCTGGTTTTGAACTCCTGAGCTCAAACAATCCGCCCGCCTCGGCCTCCCAGAGTGCTAGGATTATAGGCGTGAGCCACTGTGCCGGGCCTGATCCTCAAAACTCTTGACCACAAAATGCTGATGGCAGTCTCTCTACTGGTAACCTCTAGCAGACCTTCTGTCCATCCCTCCTGTACCCCAAACTCTAATCTTTCTGTTATATTCTGACATCCCTAGGCCCCCTAATTTTCCTAGTTTCACTCTCCAACTCATCTTCCCTCTATCCATCTTTGATCCCCAAGTCCCAACTGAACCTCGGGCTCTGCCCTGTTTCAGCGTGGCCAACCCCGCCCCATCAAGACTCTCCCCGTCCCTGCCTTTGTGCCTTCTGTTAACTTCTGTTAAGGCTCCTCCCCCCCCCCACTTCTGCTCCCTAGCCCCGCCCCCCAGGCTGTCCTAGGCCCTCCAGAATGCCCACCCTTGGTGGAGGGGTGTGTCCAGGCGGCTGTGCTGTGGATCCGGAGGGGGCAGCCATTGAACAGCTTTACGAGACGTCCCTGGGCAGGCCACGCGGGGCCGGGCGGCAGATCCAGCCAAAGGGAGCGAGGAACAGGAAAGTGCAGGGTTATTAAGACTCCGGAGCAAGAGTGCCAGGGTTCAAATCCTGCCTCTGCCTCCTCAAACTTATATATTCGACCTTGGGTAAGCTACTTAGCCTCTCTGTGCCTCAGTTTCCCCATCCGTGAAATGCTCATATCTATCTCTGTGATATTCACTTCTAACTGTGAAGGTTCATGGCACGTAAAGACACGAGGTCAGCATTGGGCACAGAGGAAGTGCTCAACAAATGTCACCTATTATCAGTTCTCCTGCCCCCTTCCCGCCCCCACCAGGCAGCCCCAGCACCTGCCAGAGGCTGGCCCTCACCTTTCTCTTCATCTTTTCCTTCTTGGGGGGCAGGAGTGGGGGCTGGTCAGACTCCCGGGAGGCTGGGTTCCAGAGGGAGGGTTCTGAGAGGGGTTGGGAGAAAAATCAGCCCCCAAGGCCGCACCAGCCCTGCCCACCCTCCACCCCAGCCTGTCCCGTTACCTGAATGGGCGGTGAGGTGGGGGCTGCTGGTGGCCGGGGGAGGCTTATGACGGGGCGTGCGTGGTGGGGGCCCACTGGCGCACCGGACCAGCACCCCTGGGCTCAGTTGCCCCTCATTCCTTGTCCCCCCAGGACCCTCGTCTGATGGAGAACGGAACTTGGGCTTTGGAATAAGGGAGGGAGCGTGGGGGAATACACCAGATGATCTGAGGGGAGGGCGCCCTTCTGCAACCCCCAGCCCCGCCTCCAGCGGAACTGACCCTCCCATGGCTCTGACCCTCCCCACCACGTCTTGCCACCACTCCAGCCTTCCCCTCTGACACCCTACCTGGGACATCAACCCACTCCAGAAATTAATGGGCTAATGATGGATACAGCAGTGCCATGAGGCTAAGTATTTTGAATCCCACCCCCAGGTTGAGGGATGCCACTTCCAGATCCCAATGCACCCATCATCCCCGTCTCCCGACTCCCAGCCCTAGGGAGTCCAGTATCCCAGCACCCAAGGACCTGGCCTTCTGGCCCCCTGGGGCCCTGACCCCAGCCCCCCAGCCCCGGCCCAGGGCCTTACCTTGGGGGGCAGTGGAGGAGGCGTGTCCTCAGCAGGGGTGGGGCTGAAACAAAAAGATGGGGTGAGCAGGCGGGGGTCTGGGGAACAAGGCCGGGGAAGATGGGGAAGTTCGGGGCTGGAGGCCTGGGATTGGGGTCTGAGGAGAGGAGGGTGAGGGGTGACCGGGTCTGGCTGGAGCTGAGGATTAGAGGACTGATGACAATGGTGATGACAGCAGCTCTTGGAGAGTGCGTGCTGGCAGGGCACCAAGCCTGTGAGTCTTCACAGCACCTAGTGACACAGGCAACTTCGGCACCCGTGGGCCAGGCTTTCACTGCGTGCCGGAGCCACACACGGCCCGTTATGTGCAAGATGGGTGCGGTGGGCGAGTGGGCCTCGCGCCCGATTCTGAGCTTGGGGCCTGGGGACTGGGGGGCCTGGGCGTACGGCTGGGGTTGAGGTCTGGGTCTGGGTGGGGCTCAGGGTCTGGCCTTCGGGAAACTTCCAGGGGCCAAGGTTCAGCCTGAGGTTGTGCGCGAAGATGAGGAAAGATGAGGGCTGGGCCGGGGCTTGGCTGGGGGCGACATCTGGGAGGCGTTCGCGACTGGGACGTAATAGAGGCTCCGGGCCGAGGAGGATAGGTGGGGGCTGAAGGAGGGGTCAGGCCACCAGTCACATGAGAAGTTGGGAAGAAGGTGGGCCGGAGTTGGGATTGGGTCGGGGTGGGAGCAGGGGACAGGGCCTGGGAAGGAAGGAAGTCGGGGCTGCAGGAGGCTCCAGTCGGGGCGCAGGGCTCGGCGGGAAGGGCGGTAGGGGTGAGGTTGGGGTCAAGGGCGAAGGTATGGTCAAGTTGGGGGTTCATAGGAAGGTGGGGGCTGAGGTGGGGCCTCGCTTACATGTCCACGTCGTCATAGTCATCGTCGTCGGACTCTGACGGCTGCTGCCTGGAGAGTGACAGGCATCAGCCTTGGTGGGTCCCACACCCATCCCGGCCCCGCCCCCCCGACCCTGCGGCCCCTGACCTGGGGCTGCTGCTCCTGCAGTCTCTGGGGGGCTGTAGGCGAGCCTGCGGGATAGGAAAAGGGTCAGCAGTGGCCTAGGGCATGCGGAGGGTGTCTGGGGAGCACGGAGGAAGGCGGCTCACGGTGTCTGCTGGGGGCCTGGTCTCCCGTCCTCTGAGCTTCCTGAACTCCATGTGCCGCCCTGGGTGGGGGGATGCACAGTGAGCCGGGGGCGGGGAGGGAGATGTAGGTGGGAACAGAAAGGGTGGAATTTGGGGGTTTTGGAGCCAGGATCTTAGGGACTGGAACGGTCCCTCAGGGGTAGGGGGTCAAGATTTGGGATGAGGGAGGCGGGGGCTCAAAGTGGTTCTGGAGCGTTTGTTTTCAGCATCCACTGGGTGTCAAGGGTGCCGACAGAGAGTTCTGAGGTCTCTTTTGGGGTCAGGGTGGTGATAGGAGGTCTCGTGGGGTCTGTTGGCAGGTCAGAGAGGGGGGGTCTCCGGTCACTTTGTAGGTCAGGCGGTGATAAAGGTTTCTGGGGGTCTGATGGTGGGGAAAGGGGGTCTATGATAGGGTCAGACGTCCCCAGACGTAAGGGTTCTCTACTCACGACAGCAGTCTGCGTCTGGGACCCCCAGAGAGCTGGAGCGGTGGGTGGATCGGATCCGCCGAGGGACGGCAGGGGGGAGCTGGGCAGAGGGACAGCCACGTCAGGGATCACGACCCCCGAGCAGCCCGCCCTGTGGGCCCAGCCTCGCGCCCTTCTCGCCCCTACATGCCTCGTGCCCCCGGCCTTGTGCCAAGCTGCCCGGCCTCCTGCCCTGTTTCCTTCTCAGGGCGGTGGCAGGAAGGCACCCCTACGGGGGCAGCCTGAGCAAAAGCCAAGGGGGGCCGTGCTCTGGTCAGCCAGGGCCCTTACCTCGGGCTCCTCGTCCTCGATCTCCCCGATGGGGGCGCCCTTCCCAGGATTCCTCAGTTTGTCAAGAAGGTCCAGGATCAGGCCTCTGTTCAGCCCAGGCTGGGCTACCAGCTGATGCTGGGGAGGGGACGAGGTGTCCACACCCAGAGGGCTGGTGCGGAGGGAAAGGGCCAGGGCGGGGGCTGGGGGACTGGTCTAAGGAATCCGGGGGTGGGGAGGTGGCAACTGAAGGAGCCAACAGGGAAATCCGGGGAGCTCAGAGGCCTGCGCGATTCTGAGAAGTTTTAAGGGATTGGAAGAATTTAGGGTTCTCAGAGGGGGCCTTGGAGCATCCCAGAGCTGTCTTCGAGAGGACTGGGGTTCCCTTGGAATTCAAGAGGACACTCAGGGTCACGTCCTGAGGCCTTGGCAATGTGTGAGTTCTAGCAACTCAGGGCATCTAGGGAAGGTCTGCGGTACAATTTTGAGGGTCGGGGGGTCCTGGGAAATTCTGAGGGACTAGGGACTTTGAAAGGGCCACAGGGGTTCTGTAGAACTAAATGTTCTAGGGAGTCGTGGAAGGCTCCGAGGAATTCTGGGGTGAGAGTTTGGGGACTTCTCAGGGAAAAGAGGTTTACACTGAGCATCTTGGTGGCACCGGGTCGTTTCTTGGGGCTCTTAGTGAGGGTGACTTTGACAAAGTTGTGGAAGGCAGCCGACCTTGGGAAGAAGAATCCAGGTTCCGGGATGAGGGGACCAGAGACCTTCCCCCCCAGACCACCCAGCCCGGCTCCACCCCCTCTGGCCCTCTCTTACCATTTGCCTTTTTCCTTCAGCCGGGGGGGCTGGTAGCCACTCTTGGTCATGAGGAAGAGAACCCTGGAATAGCAGGGAAAGAATGCGGGGTTCAGACCTCCGAGGGGGCCAGACCACATGGCTTGAGGGCTTCCCAGCAGCACTGAGGTCAGCAGAGGGAAGCGAGGGGCGGGATGAGTGAGGGTTTTATGACACTAGGACACCCCCCCTCAGGGAAGCCGGTCATCACACTACAGAGCACGCACGGGGAGCCCGAGGTGGGGACCCCTGAGTCGGGGCTCCTGGTGTGGAAGGCTCAAGCAAAGGCCGTCTGCATGGGCGGAGCCCCTGGTGGTCTCCCGTACAGGATCTGGACGTGGGAGGCAGACGGCAGGGTGGCCTTCAGGGTCAGGGCTGGACAGAGTCCCTGGGCCTGGGGGACCTGCCGTGCCTGCCTACCTCAGAGGGTGCACGTCAAAGAGCGGCGGCTGCAGCTCGGCTAGTTCGATGGCCGTGATGCCCAGGGACCAGATGTCACACAGCTCATTGTATCCCCCCTTCAGGGCCACGGCTGCCACCTCCGGAGCCATCCTGGGGACAGAGACCCTCAGAGAGCCAGGGGTGGCATGGGGAGCGGGAGGGGAGGGACAGGGGGAGGAGAATGGGGCGAAGGGAGATGAGGCACGGAGAGAGCTGGATGGAGAGAGACAGACACAGAGCTGGACACAGAGATAAAGTCAGAGGGGCAGGGACAGACCGGAAGATCCCAAAAGAGAGAGACAAAGAGATGGAGAGACAGAGAGTGAGAAGGACAGAAACAAAGAGACAGAGACTGAGACAGAGGGAAAAGACAGAGAGACCAGGATGAAAATGCACACACAGCCAGAGGAGGCGGAAAGGGCACAGAGACACAGGTGAAGGGACGACTCGAGAGAGCCAGAGAACGAAGAAGCTTCAGTGGAGAAAGGGGGAACAAAGGCAGGAAGGAGGTTCCCAGGGAGCCAGGGTGGGAAAAGCCACTGTCCCCCGTCCCACCCCTAGCTGCCCACCGGGCGCCCCTCACCAGTAGGGTGTCCCAATGAAAGAGAGGCGTCTCGCCAGCGTCGCCCCAATCTGGGCTGAGATGCCAAAGTCAGCTGGAGGCAGATAGAGACATATAGTGACCTGGGGTCCCCTGTCCCCCCAAGACCCCCAAACAGCCCTCCAACCACCCCCACCCCCAGCTTCACTCACCCAGTTTGACCTCCCCAGCGTCGTTGATGAGGATGTTGGCTCCCTGGAGATGAGAAGGAAGATCAGAGATCAGAGGCTGCAGGGACCCCCTGGACAGCACAGTGCTGCCCCTCCCACCCCCACCCCACAGCTCGCGCCACCCTGAGCCCCCCAGTGCCACTCGCATCTCCTGGACCCCACCCCTCAATGGCGCCCTTCCGCCCCCAGACCACCTTGATGTCTCTGTGTATCTTCTTCTGTGAATGCAGGTAGGCCAGTCCCTGGGAGAAGGGCGGACAAGGGGGCTGTGAGTGTCCGGGGGCTGCAGGGGGGGCCTACCCCGCCACCCCCAGGTCCTCCAGGCCTGTCCTCACCTGAAGCATTTCCCGGCACACATAGCCAATCTGGAGCTCGGACAGGGAGCCTGTTACTGCAAAGGTCACCCCGACCAGGCCAGGTGTTGGGTGGGAGCCAGGAATGCTGGGCCGGGGAGACCCGTCCCCCACCCACTCCAGCTGAGAGGATGCCACGAGGGGAGGGGGACATAGCGGGGTGGCCGACAACAGAGCGAGGCGGCAATGCAGGTTAACAGAGGCCAGAGGAGGCAGAGTCGTTCTGCAGATGTTCGCTGCGTGTCTGCTGGGTGCCAAGCACGGCGGCAGCCTCTGGGACATAGCTGCACACAGAGACAGACATCCCTGCCCTCGGGGAGAGAACATTCCAGTGGGGGAGACAGAAAATAAGCAAGATAAATAAGCAAAATACGTAGTTCCTGAGATGCTGACCAACAGTAAGAAGAAAAATAAAGCGGGAATGTAAATAAGGATGGGAAGGGCTGACATTTTGCACAAGGTGGTCAGCAAAGGCTACTCTAAGTAGGGGACAGTGGCTAAAGGTGTGAGGGTCCCGCTCTGAGGGGGAACAGCGAGTGCAGGGCCGGGGAGCTGGGAGGGTGCCTGGTGGGTTTGAAAAGCAGCAGAGCAGGTGCAGCGGGCGTGGGGAGGAAAGGGGAAGGGGAGGCTGGTCAGTTTGGGCCATGGGAGGGCGCTCAACAGGGGGGTGATGTGACTTTGCAAAATGGGGAATGGCAGAGAGACACAGAGACAGAGAGGGACAACGAGAAAGAGAAACTGGGACAGATCCAAATCGAGACAGAGAAAGAAAGATGGTCAGAGACGGAAACGTGGGAAGACAGACACGTTTAGAAAGAGAGAGACACGGCAGCGCGGGAGGGGATACCAGAGGGACAGGTGGTCAGGGGTCGGCTCTGGCAGACCGTGTGTTTCACTTCCTTCCTGTGTGCCTCAATTTCCCCCCGAGGACTTCTTAATGAAGCCCTTCCTTTGCTAGCTTTGAGGTCTAGGACAGGAGGGAGTCAGGGAGATGGCCCAAGATAGAGGTGGGCATCAGACATGCAGAGAGGTGATCACACACCCACACCCCGGCGCCCAAATGCTCCGAGAATGAAAGGCAGGCTGCGAGAGAACCACACCTTCGTTCACTCATTCAACAACAGTCTGGGAACCTATGAGCCAGAAAATGCAGAAATACTCGAACACACGAATAGGCCTTGGCAAGAAAATGCAGACGCCGAGAAAAGCTGGGGAGGGGGAGGTAGATGGCTGCATGCAGAAAGACCACGCTGGGCCCGCTTGGTCCCGGGCTCGGTCTCCGGAGTGTCTCCAGCATCGGCCAGGCCAGGCCCAGACGAGGGGCTCATCGCGTGAAATATGGACCAGAAAGTCAGTTTCTGCGAGACACATGCACACAGAGACGGAAGGGGTGGACTGGGGGAGGGGGAATCCCCTTGTCCTTCCACTAACCTTGGTAGATGTCCTGTAGAGAACCAGCCCCGCAGAATTCCATGCAGATCCAGAGCTTCTGCAACCTACAATGGTTCAAGAGCAATAGGAACAATAATAATAGTAATACATTATTATAGGATAGTATAGTAATATAGTAATAGTAATATATTATTATTATGATTCACTTGTTCTAGTTCAATAAGAACTTTACTGTAACAGCTGTCATTGCTCTATCTCCCCTTGCCCACCAGGGTGAGATTGTTCCATTCCCATTTTACAGATGAGGAAGTTAAAGCTCAGAGAGGAAATGTGTGTTTAGGGGCAATCAACTTGAACCTGTAAGTCTTTGGGCTCCAAATTCCGGGTACCCCTCTGTGGTCCCAGGCTAAGCTAGGAGACAGAGCAGAGATCTCATGGGTTACAGAGGTTTGGAGGGGACAGAGGGGCCCAGGGTGCCAGTTCTGGGAAGCTGAGGTTATTGGGCCCTCTGGAATATTAATTTGGGGGTCAGGAAATTTAGGGGTTCATATTAACGGAGCAGAGTGAAACTGGGGACCCAAAGAGCAGAATGATGAGAGATTAGTTTTAGGGGATTTATTTCAGATTGGATTACTATGAGACGATAATTTGGGGGGACCCCAGTCAGAAATGGGAGTTCTAGATTGGGGATTAGGTTAGGGGGTACTCTGATCAGAAAAGCGGGACTTTGGACCGGGGATCAGGTTAGGGGTGGCCCAGTTAAAAATGAAAGTCCAGGATTAGAGGTTAGGTTAGGGTGCCCCAGTCAGAAATGGAAGTTCAGAATTGGAGATCAAGTTAGGGGGTGCCCCTCTCAGAAGTGGGGGTCTGGGTTAGGGGCTGAGCTGAGTTCTAGGGCACAGGTCCAAAGCTCATCACCAGAGATAACTCCCATGGTAGGCCACGATGTTGGCGTGCCGGCAAGTTTTCAACATGAGGATTTCCTTCTGAAGGGTGGAGACATCGTCATCTGCGAGGAGGAGCAGGAGAGAAAAGGCGCTTGCACCGAGGGAGCCGTGGGAGAGGGGATCCCAGTGCCCAGGAGGCGGGGGTGGGATGTGGGGAAGGATCTCCAGGCGTCCCTCCTCACCAGGCTCCATCTTCACCATCTTCAATGCCACCAGGTCCCCGGACACCTTGTCTCGAGCCTTGTAAAAGGGAAGTTGGCAGTCAGGCACACTCCACTGGCCTTAGCATCTCTGTGCCAAGGTCAAGGACTGGGGCCCTCTTGCACCCTCTTCCCTTCTTGGGCCTCACTCCAAAGGTCACTGGTTTGAGGGTGATGGGAATGAAGGGGCTTCCTCACCTTGAAGACTTCCCCATAGGTGCCGCCACCCAGCCGCTGCAGCAGGTCGTAATGGTCCCGGGGGTCCCTACTAAAAATATCGGGGTCCGCGAGGTCCATTCCTGGGGGGCAGGAGCTGGGCCTGCGCCCAGGGGCCAGCAGGGCCTCAGGGCTCAAGTGCTGGCACCTCCCTCCCTCCCCACAAGCCCTGCACCCGCCTTGCCTCCGCGGGCTGTGGCCTCCTCCATCCCCACTCTCGCTTCCTGCCCCAGCTGCAGGGCTGTGCACTGGCTCCACCCCCTGTCCCCTGGGCTCTGAAGCCTGTGCAAGGCAGCTTACTTGGGACCCAGGGGACCACCCTCCACCCCCAATGCCCAGGGCAAGATGTAAATGCGATGCAAAAGAACTTAATTGTAACCTGGGGGGCGCCCTAGCACACCCCCCCCCCCCCCCGTTCTGGGCGGTGGCTAAAAACCGTAGTTGAACCTCTGCTGGGTGCTTGAAGGTTTGGCCACAACCTAGAGGTGGCAGGTCTGCACGGGGATGGCCATGCAGTGTACATGCCTGTTCACCCGGGGTACATACGCGCACTTGTGTTGCCTCCTGCACCGTGCGCCGATATGTAGACCTGCACATGCCTGTATATGTGTGTACACATGTGGCTGTACCCAGGGCAGATACCTCCACATACATGGCACGTGTCTGTGCTTTCACGCCCGCAGTGTGCAGAATCGGTACACAAATAACTCACGGCACCACAAGATGGGGCGCTCGCCCTCGGCCGCAAGACTGCAACCTAACGCAGACTGGGAGCGATCTGGCGGGGGTCCAGGAGCCCCTCACCCTAATCCCTGCCTGGCACAATAGCTTTGTGAGATCCTCCTCCTCGATCTGGGCTGGAGGGGAGGGACGAGGGTGCAGGTTTTGAAACTGGAGAGCTCAGGATACTGCCTCAGGCAAGAGCGACCTCTGAGAGCACCTCCCTAGGGACGTGGCCTTGGCTCTAGGCAGGGCTACTACGAGCGTTCCCGCGGAGTTCTGTGGGCTTACGGCCGCGCGCAATACGACGTGCGCGCGCGCCGCCAGAGCCCCGGCGCCTTCCCGCAGTGTCCGCGCGCGCGCCCGCGCGCGCGCTCCAGGCACTGGAACTGGGTACACGAGGCCCCGGAAATGCTTGGCCCCGCCCGCCTCCTCACCACAAAAGGCGCCTGCGCACTAGGGTGGACTAAGCTTTTTCTCACGCCGTCGGTCCCGCTCTGGCGGAGCGAATGCGCACGCTCCAGTTGAGCCTGCTGGGAAGAAGTCACGTGGCAGTCGGAAAGCGTGACGGCAGCTGCAAAAGCTTCCCCGCCCTTCGCGGCTCTGCCAGGGCTGGAGCAACAATGACGCAGTTTCCGTTTCCGCCACCTCTTTTTTTTTCTTCCGGTCCTGGAGGCTGTCCTGCCGCTCTGGTGTTCGCCTCCAGTCCTGGTCGTGGACGGCGACAGTAGTCATGGCGATGTTTGAGCAGATGAGAGCGAACGTGGGCAAGTTGCTCAAGGGTATCGACAGGTCTGAGCCCGGTCGGAGGGAGCGCTCTGGCCAAGCGGGGTGGAGGAGAGGATTTTCCGGAGACAGTAAGGGGTGGTCAGGGTCCTGGGCTTGCCCTGGCGTGGGGTTTCTCCGTCATTCTGGATGTGAGGAGGTCATCCCGGAGGAGGACGTGTTTAAGGGAACAGCACTGCAAAAGCCTAGAGGCGAGAGAGAGCCTTGCGTACCACTCATTCTCTTTAATTGCCTTAAGATTTCCCTCTCTGCTCCTCAGCCTTCCCTCTCTCGGCCCCCGATTTCCTCCCTCTCTCTGCTCCTCAGTCTTTCAGTGCTTCTTAGTCTCTCCCTTCTCTGCCCCTCATGTGACTCATTCAGCACACGTTCACTGAAATCCACTCTATCGGTGCTGGGAACCAGGGGTGATTAAGGCAGCTGCAGGCCGTGTTGTCGTGGGCTGAGTACCCATTCCAGAGAGGAGACAAAATCAACAACAGACAGTGACAGCCAGGAGTGGTTACGGCTGAGATGGGGAAGCTAGGCAATAACCTAAGCAGGAGAGGATGGGGCTGGATCAGGGTGGGGGCCTGAGAAGGACAGGAAGGGGCGGGTAGCAGAGATGTCCAGGAAGCCATGTGTACACGCTCCAGTGACTGGCTGAGAGGTTGGGGAGGCATCCTAGACAAGACCCAGGGCTCCGATGGGGCTTAGAGCTTAGGCGAGAGATCTGGGATGTGCACAAATCTTATTAGAAATTATAGATCTGATTCACTACTTGAGTAGAGCAGGTGACCTGTGCCAGATTTAGAGGGGAAGGAAAGGAGAACGGATTACAGGGGCCCCTTGCCCCATAAAATGACTGGCCTCAGCACCTGTCTCCTGTTTGCTCACCCATCTTGATTCTCCTCCAGGTACAATCCCGAGAACCTGGCCACCCTGGAGCGCTACGTGGAGACACAGGCCAAAGAGAATGCCTATGATCTGGAAGCCAATCTGGCTGTCCTGAAGCTGTGAGTGCGGAGTCCCGTCCATACCCCCATTCCAGCAGCTGGCAGGGTGCCACTGTCAACACAGGGTGGGGGGAGGGGTGGTGGTGGCTGGGGGTAGCCCTGCAGGATGTGGCTTCTCTTGGTGTGCTAGACTAAGAAGCCAAGGAAGTTGGGGCAGAAAGAGGAATGGCTTTTAAAAAATTAATTGCAAAATACATGTACAGGGTAGTACATAAAACAAAATATATAGCGTAACAACCCGTTGTAAATGAACACCCACGCGATTGCCTTCTGTGGTGCAAAACTGTTGTTGTTAGTGCCAGGAGCCCTCTGCCCCATATGCTCTGTGCCAACCAACCCCTGCCCCAATGACCACTGTCATGCTCTCGTGGCCTGGCATCACGTGCTAGTTTTCCACACATGCATGTGTGTGGATCAGCTTAGTTCAGATTTGCCTCCTTTGAACGTGACAGGAACGTCATCACACAGCATGATGTCGTCTCCATCTGGGATCTTCCACTCAGCACTGGGCTTGTGAGATCCATCCATTTTTGTGTGGCTACAGTTTGTTTATTGTATTGTCGTTGCCGTATAGCGTTCCACCGTGTGACGCTGTCCTAATGATCTGTTCCCCTCTTGATGAACTTTTGGGTTCTTCCCCCCTTGGGTACTTTCTTGACACACGACCAGCTGTGTAATTTTTGTGGATTACATATCCTCGGTTTTCACATCTGTAAAATGGAGATAACGCTTGTATCTGTGGGGTGGTTTAGATTTTGTTGGTGATTATCACCGCCTGATGAGTGCCCACCATGTGCTAGCAACTGCGCTACAAACTTTATACGCATTAACTCGCTTAATTGCTGTCTTGCCCTTGTGAGGTAGTTAGAACTAACTGCCCCTGTTTATAAAGCAGCAAGGTAGGCTCAAGGAGGTTATGGTTATGCAGCCAGAAAGCGTCGTGGTTGGGACTGGAGTCCAGGCGTGTCCCATACTCCAGATTAAAGCAGTGGGCGGCCTGCCTGGCACCTGCTGAGGGTCAGGGACCTGGAGCTGCCAGTGTTGCCATGTCTCCTGTTCCCCTTCTCAGGTACCAGTTCAACCCAGCCTTCTTTCAGACCACGGTCACTGCCCAGATCCTGCTGAAGGCCCTCACCAACCTGCCGCACACCGACTTCACCCTGTGCAAGTGCATGATCGACCAGGCGCACGTATCCTTCCAGCCTCGGGGCCCAGGGCTGCGGGAGGGCGCGGGAGGGCGCGGGAGCCCAACCAGATGAATTCACAGGGAGGTGGTCCGTGAGTTCATCCACAAATACCGAGTGCCTGCTCTGGGCTTGGCCCAGTGCTGGGTAGGCTGGGACGCTGTGGTCCCAGTGGGGGCCCTGGCCCCAGGAAGCTCCCACCGTCCAGTGAGGAGACAGGGAGGTGTTCCATCAGCGATAGCCCAGGCTGGTCAGGGCTGGGGCAGAGGGACCAGAGGAGGCACCAGAGCCTGCCTGGAGGTTAGGGGAGGCTTCTTGGAGGGGGGAACATCTGAAAAATGACAGGTTAGGTGAAGGGGTAGTAAGGGTGACCCAAAGTAGAATGTGGTCAGACTCACGTGGCTCTGCAGAACCACGAAGACCTTTAAAAATGCAGGGTGCCATAGGCAGGTGTGTGCTTAGAAGGATTTCCCTGAGGGTCCCAGCTGACTAGAGAACCACCAGGCAAGAGGCCAGAGGGGCTGGGAGGGGCCACCGGGCAGGGGCCACGAAGACGGGATGGATTGTCAGCTCTGTGAGGGCAGGAGCTTTGTTTACACGAATCCTCAGTGTCTGGCATGGAGCTGGCTTTTTGTGAAAACCGGTGACCTCGCTCTCTCCTGCCTTGACCTGCTTTTTTGTGGCTGGTCCATTGTTGGGCCAGGCGGGCTTCCAGCTTTCGTTTAATCACTTGACAAACCCAGAAGTCCCTCACTTGTGCTTGACAAGGCAGGTGGCTGGGCGCTTGTGCCCACAGTTGTCACACTGCCTGTTCCTTGGTGGCTGAGCTGTGCAATGGCAGGTGACTTATTGAACCCGCTTTGTCAGGCGTGCCCGTGGCGGTTCCTGCCTTCTGAGAGATTGTCCACTTCACATAGGGGTGTTCTGGTGGTTTTTTAAAAATATGTGGTTTATGGTTAAAAATACAGAAGAGTGTATAGTGGGCAAAATAAGGCTTTTTCCCTCCTCATCCCACAGCCACCGCACTCCCTGCCTAGGAGGCAACAGTTGTTTGCAATTCTTGGGAACCTTTCCACAGATATTATTGCGTAGACACGTGTTAATACATGCAGATGTGTGTTTACATGCACGTATTTTCCCCAACCCAAAGGGTAGATGTTATGTGAGTCATTCTATGTCTTGCTGTTTTCATATCTCAGTGTATCAAGTACTCCGTGTCAGTTCTGCGAGTGTAGACTTGGTCGCAGTGTATGAATGGGCCACCGTTTATTTCCCTGTCCCCATCATTTGACCCTTAGGTTGTTTCTCACCTTTTGCCATTACAAATAGTATCGCAGCGAACATCTTCTCCTGTCTACATCTGCAGGAGAAATAAGATGCTTCCTTTTCCATTTCCTTTTCTGAGCTGAGCCTTTGGAACAAAGGCGCTAGAAGAAGGTGGGCGGGGAGCGGTGGTGTAGGACCCAGCCCCAGCCTCCTCAGTCTCCGAGGCTACTTTCCCTTAATGCCTCCCCCTCCCAGCAAGAAGAGCGGCCGATCCGACAGATTCTGTACCTCGGGGACCTGCTGGAGACCTGCCACTTCCAGGCTTTCTGGGTAACTTCCCTTGGTGCGGGGGCAGGGTGGGTGGCCAGGCCAGGTGGAGCAGAATGCTC